TTTTGGAAAGATGGTGTTGTTAAGAAACGTCTTGGCAGAATGATGTACAAGGACAAAAGCAGGAGCACAAGTGACATATTAACCAGCTAAAATGTTGTTTCGCCAAGTGAAAGTACCACTGGAAATCCTGTACACAACACATTCAACATTCCTACACCAGCAGAAATAGTGCAACCAAGGGTTTATGGCAACAGGAAAAGAAGTCCCAGAGAGTTTCTAACCATTGAACCAAAGCTAAAAAAATATAGACCCCAAGGGAGGTCATTTCAGAGGGGAGGTGTTGTATAAGAGTAAGTGTCATTGCCAACACTGTGGTTTGAAACTAGATTGCCAGTGAGTAACATGGGAAATTCCATTATTAAGTAGATCATAAATGAAGTGAATAAATTTGAAGTAGCATGATGACTATTTCCCCTCTATCAATATACGGATCGCTGTTCACTTCTCTTGTCTATCCATTATTGATATACGTTCACTCTCACTACTCTACTACTATACGGATTACAATTCTCTTCTGATCATTATACTATTTGGTGATTACTACTTGAACAAGTATTACTAGTGCAAATATATTGAAAGACTACTAGTACCAGCATCTACAAAGTTTTGAATATAACAAGCATTCTTGGAAGTGATAATGAGCTTTTGCTTGACATAGCAAAAGTGACAAGCAAAGCTGTCCAACATCACAATAGTGGCGATGAGGATTCGCAAGGAATCACAAAAGATAACATTTTAATTTTACTGCGTTTTTTTTACAATTCAAAGCAGATCTTTGGTAAGATGGGGTCCTATTTTACAAAAAAAAAAAAAAAAAAAATGATGATTTAAATTCTCCAAAGAATTCTGCTTTTAATATAATCACTGAAAATTATCATGCTGAATTTGAGTTTTCATAAAATTAAGTGAGGGTGAAACACATAAAAAAAATATTTTTTAGATTTTCTAAAAAACAAAACATTCCTAAAATAATTTAATTCATTTGTAAATAAGTTCTGAAAATGTCATTAAAATCCGAGAATTATTTGATTTTTCCAAGAATTTCCAAATTAATGTGTCTGTCATTGCAAAAAACTCACTAAAATTTACTATGCTAATTTATAATACATTTGCTGACACAAGAAAAACAAGATTTTTCATCAAAATTTTGAATGTTATATAAAGGATTAAAAAATTTAATTAAATATTCAAAAAATACTTTGTTATTAAGAGGAAAGATCAAAGATATTGATGATAAAACTGTGTTTTCATGTGGAGCATTTTTTCATTATAGTATGCTAATTTTTTTAGCAATTTTGTGAAGGTACCTATATATATATATATATATATATATCTCAAAGTGGACATTGAAGTCAACACTCAGCAGTGAGAGTGTTTCATGCATATATGTAATCATCAGGCCATATTCAATCTGTTTTTGCTTGACTATATATGCAGGTCAGTGATTCATTGTGAGTAGTCTATTGTATTGTTCTCACAGTTATTTTAGTGGGCAGTAACAGTTATATTTCTGAATTATTCTAGGGGCTATTTGGTAGAAATAATTGTGGATCTGTGTGTAGTTTTTTGGCTACTTGTAGTGTTGTTTGTTAACTTTTTTATTAATTATTTTATTGTTGGTTGTTATTATTATGTTTACTTGTGTTTATGTGTGCATTCGTGGTTTGTTAATTTGTTTATATGTATGTACATATGTATACACCTGGTCACCATATCTGTGTTCATGATATCAGGGGAGAATGTACTTAAGAAAATGCTAACATACCTTGAAGCCAAAGTGATTTCATGTGGCATCTTGTTTATGTGAATCAAAAATATATAGCTCTCCACTGGATGCAGTCAACAAAGATGTTAATCAGCTTCATTCTTAGTCAATCACAGCACAAGATTAGTCAAATAAATAGACTGCTATGGAGAACATGCTAATCAATTAGTGATTTAAAAAACTTAGTGTTAATCACTCTCAATTTTGGAGTAAAATTAACAAAGCAATTAATTTACCAAAGTGGACCAAATATTCTGCATGACCGTGTATATTTTTACTTTTGTTAAAAAATAAAATGATAATAGCCTACAAAACTTAGGCTAACTAATGACACCTCAGGAATTCAGAAAAATAACTGAAAAACCAATGCCACCAAACTTATAAACCTTGGAATAAATGAATACTGTGAAAAGATTTAAGTATTAAAACTTGATTTTAACTATTTTTCATATATGCTTTGCTATGATATTTCTGTTATTCCTTTCAACTGGAAAATGAAAATGTTTAATCTTTATTAACCTCAGTAAGAAATCTTGTGAAATTTCCTCAGAATATGACACCATTTAATGTGAAGCACCCTATTTAAGGAATATATATTCTAGCTTCTTCAGACATTTTAGATTTCTCAGTCAGCTTCTCCATGTCTTTGGATGTTTGTAGGAAAAAAATAAATGAGGGGGTAAAAAATAAAATCAAGTGTGACATTCACCGACAGACTGAATCTTCTTCTTCATTCGCCTAAAGGAAATAGATTCCGGGGCTCTGTTTCTTCACCACCACACACTGAGCACTTTTCAGTTGACAAACGGTTCTCACAGTTGCTCTTGGACACTGCAGATTTAATCTGTTTTATGATGTAGAGTGTCCACCTCACACTAGGATGGCTGCTCTGTCGGTATATAGTTCCGATTTGATCAGACCCAACTGAGCTCACGGACGCAGTACAAGTATGATGTATGGGCTCAGTGTTCCTCCTAATTGCACCGATCCACCTCTGAGGCACCCTCGTCAGTCGATCTGCTTTGTTTTGGCTAGATTTAACCAAGGTCACATCCATTGTTTAACGTATATCCGTTCACCAGTTTCATCAGCGTGTTGAGCCATCATCGGATGAGCATCTCACTTGCTGCTTTTGTTTGCACTCTGGCCCTCCTCACGAGTGTGTCTGACACCCATTTATGGACACAAGCAGAATCTGTCAACGGGTGAAAGGTCACCAGAGGATTGCCAAATTCACCCCTTTAATAATGGCATCAAGTTCTGCAAGGAGTGTTCTGTTGGGAGTCCTTTTTGGGCCCTAAGCAACAGGTGTCCTCTACCACGGTCCCACTACATTCTAACAACACACCAGTAGCAAGAGAGCTTGCGTCAACCCATACACTGAAGTCTTGACCATTGACACACCATTTGCTATGTGCCAGGTCCTCCTTGTGCACACTGCTGAGAACCTCTTTGATCATGGTGTTGAGAGGGGCATCGTCAACTTTGTCGTCCCAACCAGCAGTAACCTTGGATGCTCTCCCTTTGATGAAGGTCATGGCCACACAAAACCATCCACTCACTGGAAGATGTCCAATCAGCTTGCCACATAATGAAAATACGTTGTGTTAGGTGATGACGCGAGGCATATCCAGGATCCTGTTCCCTCTTTTCCAAGAGTGTGTGATGCTACCCCCAGACCTGTAGACCAAGCACTCGCGCACCATCCTTTAGCTTCTCCAGTCCTTTGCTTCTGAGTCCAAAGCTGTCAAGATATTTTCATACATGCTGTGGGCACAACACTCTCATCCACATATATGTCATCAATGTAGGCAGACGTTGCTCATTGTATGCATTTGTCTTTTGTTAAAGCGGTGTCAACAATTGCCTGCATGATGGACGGTGCCACATTAAGCCCAAATCATATACAGGTCAAACAATACCTCCGTCCATTAAATTAGCACAGTTTGATAAGGCCACAGTGATCTGTGCACACATACTTGAAGATATGCCTTTCGAAGATCTAACACCGACACGTTCAAGCCTGCTGGTCGCCACTCTCTCAACCTTTGTGCACATACATCTGCACAAGCTGTGAATGCATCCAGATGCTCATTCAATTCTCAATAGTCAAGCACAGGTCTTACCTTTTCTTTATTTTGTTGGATGGCTGCCATCAGTGGAATCAAACCCTTTGGGAGCCCCAATTCCTCTTCTGGGTAAGGCACCAACCATCCATTACTGATCCATGTCTGTAACTCCCTATCATATTCTGCTCAAGCGCTAGCAGGAACATCGTATTCTGAAACTCTGTTGCATAATTTCTCTGGTGGTTGATTCCCAGACCACTTCCACAACACTGTTCTAGATTTGGTGTGTCAATTGAATTCTGCCCAAATATTGGGTTCTTTCAATCCTTGAAGATCCTCATATCTTCCATCCTTGAAGATGCCCACAATTGCTATCTGACATGACTGGGAAGTCCTGAGACAAACGCACAAGTCAGCCATTGATTGGATAGACCTCCTCCAACCAAACATGCCAGGTTCTGCAGTTCCCCCAAATACTCGTCTATGGTTTCTCCAGGATGTACATGACGAGATATGAACTTGTCAAACTGGTCATGGGACAATCATTGGTACACCAACAGAGCTCCACCTCTCAATCTTAGTGGTATAATGTGCTCAACATTGTCCACCCCACACATCTTGCACAGAAGCTCCACCTGTTCCATACATTCAGACACTGTGTGATCTGATTAAAGGCCATGAAATTCCAGAATTAGCTGGATGTCAAAAGCCTTGCCTGCCATTACAGCAAACGAAAAAGCAAACACTGAAATAGCTTGTCGGAAAAAATAAATAAATAGTTTTTCTGAACAACTCAAAACTACAGCTCAACAAATAGATCTGCTAGAATAAAGGAATACAAAACTAACTCAACCAACTAGCTATCCATGAAAGTCTTGCAACTAAAATCTTTATTTTTTGAAAGTCACTGGAAATAAAGTTTGTAATTTACTATATTTAGTAAATTACAATTTATACACTATTTCACAGCAGAATACAGATATGGATTTAAACTGAGTACAGTGATTTTCAATAAGTGTTTTTAACAGACTGCCCTACTGCCTAGAACAAAACTTAAAGCAATTGATTATAAAATGTAATTATGATGTGTTCCTTAAATAGCATAAAATAATAGCAAAAAAATGCAATAGAACAAATAATAAATTGATATGATGAGTGCAACTTACTTTTTTTATATCTTCCTCATAATCTGTGATTAATTTGTAGAATGGGAAAGAAGATAAAATCCTCCATAAACTGAGGCCATGTTGTTCTGCTTCTAACATGGAGTTATCAAGTCCAGTTGCAGTAGGAACATGGCTGCCAATGATAAGGAGACTGTGTATGGGAATGTAGACTACTGCAGTCACTCCTTGTTGATGGTGAAATGTGAAATTGAAAGAGTGCACCAACTGGTATTGACCATTACGGTTCACTAAATATTTATGCAACTCACCAGAGAAGGTAATTACCAAAAGATGTGCAGCTCTGAAAAGAAAATTACAAAAATGCTATAACAAACATACTTAAAATATTTTCATTTTTGATCATCAAAAGAATTAAATAAAAAAAAGTAATCAGCAATAAAATTGCCTCAGTATTAGGTACAATTCTCAAAAATCATCTTTTTTAGTGTTGAGGAGTAAAGTGCACACTCCTAATGACTCTATGAACTCATCCAATACTATAAAGAGTTCCATAGTATGAGGTCATTGGTAGTTATTTTGGAGTCAGACTTCATACTACTATCCAGATGTTAGAGCAAATTTTTTCAAAGTGGAACATACAAAATTCACTAATGAAAGACCTGAAAAATCAATCAAAATGCTGTACAGCATTTTTGTGCCAGTACTAAAACAAATCATGGTACCTATAAGGACTAGTTAAAAAAAAAAAAAATGTGACAAAAGTATGGTAGTAAACTTTCCAAAAAGAGGAGGGGGAGATACTAACACTTGATAAAAATAAAAAATATATTTATTTAATAATAAAGTAATCTCAAAAGGGGAGATGTTGTGGAATAAAGATTACACCCCCAGTGACTCTATGAACTAATCCAATACTATAAAGAGTATGTATGAGGTTGATGGTAGTCATTTTGGAGACAGTCTTCATACTACTATACAAGTGTTACGGCAGGTAGCCTAAGCATTACGTATAGAGAATACTTATGTGAATTGTGTTATACCAAGTACAAGTCTGTGTTATCACAATAACCTTACAATAGGAAGTTATAATATTTAGATTTACACAGCAGTTAATGACAACCATCTAGATTTTACAAAATTTTACATCCTATCAAAATTACAATAAATATTAATTTTGTCAAAAAATATAGAATCTTAATTTTTTGTAATTTACTCTTCTTACAAATTTATATAATGTCTAGTTTTCACTTTTTCCATAACAAATAATCAGGGAAAAATCTTGAAATCGCTGTTTGATATACAGACTATCATATTTAGTACATTTAAATTTTAGTACCAAATTCTGTTTAATATATAGGCTGTCACATTCAGTACATTTAAATTTCAGTGTCAAAGATACATGATTAAACAACAAAAACAATTTTTACTTGATTTGTTTTTTAAACTGATAACCATTAAGAACTTCAAATACAGAAAAATTTGATTAATTATTACAAAAAAAACTCCTAGACCAGAAATAATAAAAGGAATTTTAATATCTCCAAATGCAAACCAGTAAATAAAACAGCTGAAAAACTTAAATCAGAATACGGATTTCAATTTTTAAATTAAAAAAATCAGACATACCCTTCATTAATACTGTCATTTTCTAGAAACAGAAGACCTGCAATACTTCTTGTCAAATTTGAAGGAAAATTAGAATTCATAGGAGAATTTCCATCATCAACCTACAAATCATAAATATTCATTCAGAAAATTATCAAAACATTACTATTTATCTACCAAATAATCATACTAATTAATAAAATTTAATGCCCACTCTCATTTTTGAAAGAGTGGAAATGAATGTGTTAAGTTTTTTTAGCAGCAGCAGCTGCTTAGTAATTCAAATCAGCATGCTCATCTTGATTATTATACACACATTTTTGGTAACCTACTTGGTATTTCAAACCAAACCTTTTATTCAATCAACAGAGATAGATTGTTCTCACTCGGTTTCCCATGCTTATTTCATATCTGTTAATAAGCAATAGTCTTTGTCAACTTTCTTATGAGGAAGCCCAGAGAGTTACGGAGGAAGCCCAGAGAGTTAAGTAGCCAAAACATTGAGAACATAACAACCACTATGAGCAGGCTGGTTCAAATAGCTAAGTATATAATAATAACAATACCAATTTAAAAAGTTCCAACAAAATGTCTTAAATGTACATTAATTTCATTTTTGTCAGAAATATTTTAATTTTTCATGCAGGGAAATGTGAATTTTTTACCAAATTAACAACTTAAAAAATGTCTTAAAAATAAATTGTATTTATTTAAATAGGGAAAATAAATTATATAACCAACTGAAATGCCATATGTAACAGAACATGTAGATATTTTTTATGCTAGAATCACATTTTTCAGGTGTGCTACCTGTAAATAATGAAATTTCACTTTTGCTTCCCAAACATTGATTAATTTTTAAAATCCTGTTACTGTAAAGATTTTTCATTCCAAAGCCAAATTTATGGGTATGCATCATGAAAAAGACAACTTCAACCAAGATAAAAAGAGAACAGTAGGTAACAAGTATGAAAAGAAAAATAGAATCCACCTCACTATCAATATGATTTCAATTCTAAAATAATAAATCTTTTTATGTACCTCTACTAATTTGCTGAAGAATTTGCATGTTGAAAAAAGGCCCCAAACTTAATTAAAACAAAGTATCATCATTAAAATGTTTGTTATTATTAAGAGGAAAGACCAAAGTATTTTTTTATTATTTTATTAAATTTTTTAATCCTTTTGGAAGATTTTTTTAATACAGAGAATTACATTGCAATGAAAGACAACTAAAATGGATGCTAATCAGCTATTTTAGCAAAAAAAAAAAAAAAAAAAAAAATTAATTCCAATCAATATAATTTGTGTTCAAAATACACCAGAGTATTTTGCTTACTGGAAATAGTAAATTTAATCCTTTAGTTTTCAATTAAAGCTAAAATGAAAACTTCAAGAAAGGTTTTCCATTTGTAAAAATTCATTTTAAACCTAGGTATCGCAATTTAGTGTAGGTACCAACACTTTTTTATAGTAAATGTTTTAAGATGTTTAACTATTTATTCTTTATTAAATATACATTAGAAAATTACATCTTCAAAAGATTTTAAATCAAATTTTTATTTTTTTAATCATTTCACTCTGAGCAAGGCAGGAATGCTAGTAGTACACAGGGAGTTACAGGGAGTGAAAGTAAAAGAGAAAACTGAGAATAGGGAGGATTGAGGAAAAGACAAAAGATGAACAAGATTCAAAAAGACAGAAGATGGCAATTAATGTTTCATTTAAATTTTTGAAGTCAGTAGTTACCAGAAAAGTAAATAAACAGAAGGAGGTTCCACAGGTGGAAAGTGCAAGAAAAGAAACTGTTAGAGTAGAAGAAGCAGTTGCATTTCAACAATAAAATGGTGGGACCACAATACCAATCTAAAAGAACACTTAAGTTCATGTAGTTGAAGGAAAAAAGGTCATCAGAGCAGTTGCCATGAAAATATTTGTAGAAAAGTCAGAGGGAAGCCATATCACATCAGTGAGAAAGTGACTGAAGTTGTGATGCTTGGTCAGGATTAATTACATTACAGATCTTTCTTTGGATTTTGTCAAGAATCTTGATATGTACAACAGGAGTATCACACCAGACATGGCAACAGTATTCAATGCATGGACAAATGGTAGATTTGTAAATGTGGAAGATGGATTCTGCCAAGAAAAATTTTCTGGCATGACACAGTGACCCAACTTTCCTTGCAGTAGATGCAGCTATTGATTCAATATAGTCACTCCACTTTAAGTCAGTGGAAAACCTGAGACCAAGAAGTTGAAGTGTGTTACTCTCTCCATGCTGATGGCAGGCAGAAAAGCTTCTCTGTGGTGAAGCAGTTATGTTTTGGAGGCGTTAAAATTTACAAGCCATTTCTTGTCTCAGTTAACCACTGATTGAAGGTCCTTTTTAAGTGCAGCTGCCAGGTTTACTTTATCAGATCTGATGGATTGGCATAGAGACAGGAGTAAATGGCAGTGTCATCTGCATAAATACATATTTGGGAACTGACATTGAGGAGATCATTGATGAAGATCAGAACTAGTGTAGGACCCAAGATAGGGCCTTGGGAGACACCTTCATTTGTGTGAAAGGAGCTGGAAATGTGTTTGTTCAAAACAACCTTCATTTCAGAGGAATGAGAGCATTAAATCAAATATTCATCCTGTGACACCATAGCCCTGGAGCTTACGTAAAAGGCCAGCATGCCAAACCCTGTCGAACGCCTTCTAGAGAGACACGGCTTGAGCTTTGCTGTTCTTATCTAGAGCTTGATATACAAATTCAGTGGTGGTTGTTAAGACATTAGCAGTAGACCTAGTGAAACAGAAGCCATATTGTTTGTCAGAGAGAAAGTCATGTGAAGTAAGATGCTTAACCACCTCAGCAGTAAGAGACTAAGAGGATGATAATTTAAGGGGTCAGAGGGTTCTCCAAAAGTCCTAAAAACAGGAACTACAGAGGACTTCCAACAAGCTAGGATGTAAGAAGCAGCGAGGCACTTGTAGTAGAGTTTGGAGAGAACTAGAACCAGCTTGGGAACACATTCCTTTAAGCTGACAGATGGGATCCTGTCGCATCTGCTTGCCTTGTAGGGATCTAGTTTGGAAATGATGTCTGAAACCAGTCACAGAGTTATGTGCATATCACTCAGTAGAGCCTCAGTTCTAGGGAGAAGATCAGGTATGGTCACTCCAGACAAGTCGAAGTGTGGAGTTGGGAAAGAACTTTTAAGCACTCAACTTTATTTACTGTAAATGTCAGGACTTCAAATTGATTGAAGAGAGGATGTACTGAGTATTTACTGTTGTTCAGCACACTTTTGCAGAGTTGCCAATAATCTCTAGAACCAAACTTGTGAGAAGCTATATGTGACGAAAAACATGACTTACCTCGAAGTTCAAAATGAGGAAAAAGAAATATGGCCGCTATCGAAGACACAATTTATGTGCGCCGATCTCGTCCAAAACAAGACGATATTCACACACATGCAAATTTCTGCCATATCAGACAGGGATAAAAAGCGAGATGCCAGCAGCAAGATTCAGGTTGGGAGTCATTCGGTGGACTTCATGCAATAAAGTTGGATGTACGAATTGACTGACAGACAAAGAGGAAGTTGATGTAGGCGCGGCTGAGTTGGTGTCTGTTTCTCGACTGCCTGGTGTAACAGCCAAGGGAGTCTCGCAATCCATTTCCTTGAGGTGACCGATGACGAAGGAAGAACAGCTGGTCTGCTAGCAAACAGTACACTGCACTTTCTGACCCCCTCTCATCACTTTCTTCTTTTTGTTTACTACAAGCTATTTCGGCAGTTATGGCGAAGGTTCGCATAAGCAGCGACGTCATAAAACCGTTTTCCGGCCAGGGCGATGTGGTGGCATGCCTAAAAAAGGTCAGGCTGGTGGCAAGACTTCAGCAGGTGGACGATGTGGCTCGCCTGCTACCATTGTACCTGGAGGGGGATGCACTAGCCCTTTACATGGAGGAAAATCAGAGAGATATTGATCAGATCGAAGCCAGGCTGAAGCAGGCATTTACAGACAACGCGTTTTCAGCGTACAGAAACCTGACTATGGTCATGTGGACTGGCGAACGTGTGGACATCTACGCTAACAAAATCAGGCAGCTTGTTGGATTGGCCGAATTTGAGGAAGCCGAGATGGAAAGGCTCACCAAACTAGCCTTTGTCATGAGGTTCCCTGATACAATCTCCCTTGAACTCCGACAGGCACCGAATGTTGAGGCTCTGACTGTGGGGGAGTTATTAGCAAGAGCGAGAGTGCTGACAACAACCGGAGATGAAAGTCAGGATGTAGTTGTGGCTGTGCGCCCACCCCGTAGTGACAGCGCATCTCCTACCAAGAATGTCTCACTCACCAGTGTGACATGCTTCAGATGCAGTGGCAAAGGCCACGTAGCAAAAGACTGCTGGAAGCACAGAACACACTGCTTGTGATGCAGGGAAGTTGGACACTGGGCCTGAGACTGTTCGGGAAATGCTACAGGGGGACAAGACATCAGCGCCAGCCTTTTCCCTAACCAAGATGTAAATACAGCACTCCCGGTCTTGGAAGAGATTGACGGTGGACGTCATGACTATTGAAGGCATGTCCCGTCCATGTTGAAGCAGGCATTTACAGACAACGCGTTTTCAGCGTACAGAAACCTGACTATGGTCATGTGGACTGGCGAATGTGTGGACATCTACGCTAACAAAATCAGGCAGCTTGTTGGATTGGCCGAATTTGAGGAAGCCGAGCCTTTTCCCTAACCAAGATGTAAATACAGCACTCCCGGTCTTGGAAGAGATTGACGGTGGACGTCATGACTATTGAAGGCATGTCCCGTCCATGTTGTGGTGTAGGAGTGGTAACTGTATCCACAGAGGAAGGCGGTTCTGCCAAGATCAATGCGTTAGTGGTGCGTGGTAAACCACTGAGATTTGACCTGCTATTGGGGATTGATGCCATAACAGCATTGGGAGGCATTGCTGTTAGGCCAACAGGATGAGTACAGATTGGCAATGGGCGAGCAGCCAAGTGTGCAGCCACCCATGTGGACGAACTGGACACAGATCAAATCATGTCCATCCACAGGAACAGTGGTCACCAAGGAGTGCGGTGCACTACCTACTTCACCAGGAGAGTCTGCTCTTCAACAACAAAAGCAGCCGTTAGATGCAAGTAGAGAAAGATGGAGGCACATATAAGAATGGCCTGGAGACACAAAAGAGAGTTACTTAGCCAGGAGGAGATGTTCCCGAACATAAACTTGCAGGCCATGCATGTGGACACTAGAATCCTTCCTAAAGAGAGGAAGATATCCAGGAATCAAGTGATTACCTAATTCCAGGCTATCTTGGGGATTGAAGAATGAAGATTAGTTTCACACAGAGTTAGGATATCCAGAGAATGTTCGAAGAGGAACAATTCCACACTGCAGAAGTTGGTACAAATACCACAAATGTTGGAGAAAGAAAGGGTTTAGGGTTTTTTTTCAAGCTGGTTTGGTTTCATTTTGTTGGTTACTGTTATGATGTTGATTTGGGGTTAGTAGAGACAAACGCCAAATAACACGTAACAATAAAAGGATTTTAATAGGTTGGTAAAAAGGTACAGAAATCGCCTGAGTAGTCAATAACTAGCTCAGCTAAGAACTTCTCTGTCTATCTGTCTTCCCCATGTCAACTGACATGCCACTATTTAAAGTCTTTGTTCACAGACGCAGACAAGTTCATCTTCAAGAGGGGTGGTAGGTTTCCGACACAACACCTCCCCCTTGAGATTAATTCTGGAGGAATTAATATCTTTTTCTTTTGGGATCTGGACTTAAACGTTCCACCCTAGTTCTTTTTCTTTTGCTTGTCCTTCTTTGGACAACTGTTTCAGGCAATGGTGGAGTTGGTATATCGAATAAATCATATAATACCTCCATTGGTTCTTCATTTTCTTTACTTATTTCTTCAATGATTCTTTTCCTTAATTGGTTCAAATGTCTTTTGTGCATCCGTTTTTTTACTTCTTATCATGTATAACATCTTACCAATTCTTTGAGTTACCACTCCATCTTGCCAAAATTCCTTCCCATTTTTGTAATTTTTAAAAAAAACTTTATCTCTCGGCCTGAGATATTTCATATTTTCCTGATGCGTTTTGTTCTGGTAACTCTTTTTTCTTTCCGGCAGCAGCCTATTGAATACAGGTCTAATTTTTCTAGCAAACATCAGTTCAGCTGGAGTCATCCCTGATATTGCGTTTGGATTTGGTGTTATTCTGTATATACTTAAAAACTGCTGTATATTACCATCATCTGTATTAGTACCATTTGTTTTTTTAAGGGCTCTCTTGAACGTATCAACAAACCGTTCAGCCTGTCCATTTGACCTAGGATGGTACGGTGAAGTCGTGATGTGGTCAATTCCCAGAGTCTTACAAAACGTCTTAAATTCACTTCCAGTGAATTGAGTTCCATTGTCGGTGACAATTTTTTCTGGTACTCCAAAATGTGCAAACAGTTCTGTAAGAAAATCTTTTGTTACAGAAGCAGTTGGTCTTTTGCACTTAAAAATTTCAGGCCACTACCATTCATGGGTCCAGCATAATCTATGTGGAGTCTGGTCCATGGAACATCTATTTTTGGCCATGGTGTGTATTTTACTGGCGGTGCTTTCGCTGCCATTTGACACCCTCTACAAGTTTTAACTACCTGTTCAATGTCTTTGTCCATATTTGGCCAATAAATGTAACTCCTCATCAGGGCTTTCATACGTCCAATACCAGGATGCCCCTGATGAAATTCCTTCAAAATCCTCTTTTGTAGTACAACCGGTATCAATTACCTTCCAGCATATAACAACACTTCATCACATATTGAATATGCTGGTGAAGAAGTTTTATACTTTTCTGAAGTTACAACTTCTTTCATTTTTCTAATAAAAATGTCGTTTTCTGCTTTTAATTTTATTTCATCTAATGTCACCAGTAATTCTTTTACTGTGTTATACAATTCATTTTCTGCTTGTAACGACGCTATCACCGTATCTTCTAGCGGTTCCGAAGACGTTGAGATCAGTCTAGATAAACCATCAGCATGGCTTAATTTTTTAGATGATAAAAATTCCATGTTGAAATTGTAATTCAACAAAATGGTTCCCCATCGTTGCAAACAGTTTGCCATATGAGTAGGTATACCCTTCTTCGAACCATAGATTGAAAGCAGCGGGCGATGGTCGGTCTGCAATATAAACCTTCTTCCATGTATGTACTTATGGAATTTTTTACAAGCATAGATGATAGCTAAGCTTTCTTTCTCAATTTGAGAGTACTTCTTTTCTCAGTAGTAATAATGTCCTTGATGCATGTGCCACTGGCTTAAGTGTTGCCGTCTCTGAATTTATGCAGAATTACCACACCTATTCCGTACTAAACTTGCGTCCGATGCCACTGTAATTTCCTGTTTAGGGTCATAATGTGTTAGTGATAATTCCAACGTCAAAATATTCTTTATTTTGTCAAACGCCTTCAGACACACTTCTGACCATTCCCACTTTGCTCCCTTTTTAAGCAATTTATTTAATGGAGCCGTAAGGCTGCACAAATTAGGAATATATATCCCATAATAGTTAGCAAGTCCTAAGAACGCTTGTAGTGTTACTACATTTTTGGGAGTTGGCATGCTTTTGATCGCTTCTGCCCTCACCAGATCTGGTCTTCTTCCATCAGAGTCTATTATCTGCCCCAAAAACTTAATTTCACTCATAAAAAATTCACATTTTTCAGCTCCAAGTTTGAATCCATATTCTTCAATTTTTTCAAAAACCTGATTAATATGTTACAAATGTTCATTTCAATCTTTACGTTTTATCAAAATATCAAGATATGCAATGGCGAAGTCCAACCCTGCCAGCACAGTGTCCATAATTTGCTGAAAAAATACTAGGGGATACTTTTAAACCAAAAGGCAGACGGTTTAATTTGTATAAACCCTTGTGTGTATTGATAGTCAACAATTTAGAACATTCTTCGTCCACTTTCACTTGGAGATAGGCATCCGATAAATCCAATTTAGAGAATATTTTCCTCCATTTAAACTTGCAAAAATGTCTTCTGGTGAAGGCAAAGGATATGTGTGGTCTTTTAAGCAATCATTTAGACCCGTAGAGAAATCGGCACACATCCAAATTTTATTACTCTTTTTCTTAACATATACAACAGGGCAGGCCCACTCTGAAAATTCAATGCGTGAAATAACTCCTAAATTTTCAAGCCGTTCCAATTCTTTGTTAATCTGTCCCAAAACACCAAATGGCACATTTTTTTTTCGCTTGAAAATAGGTTTTACATTTTCCTTCACTTCAAATTTTGCCTTTGGTTTTTTGCAACATCCAAGACCTTCTGAAAATACTTGTGGAAATTTTATTTTCAGATCTTTCACCAAATTTTCTGTAACCTGATTTTTACATGGAGAAGAAACATTAATTCTATTGCAAAAAAGAATTTATAGGGAGTTCCCATAAATTAAAAAAGTATAATCCAATCTGTTCCAAACAAATTTGAAGCATTTTGTAGCACATACACTTTTAGACTTTAGTGTCTTACCAACAAATGAAATATTACAAGAAAATTCACCTTGAAAATGCAATTTTCTTCCAGAAATCCGTGAGCCACTTTTTCAGTCTTTTTTAAGCAAAGGTCTGCCTATTTTAATCCATGTTGCTGTATTAATAATGGAAATATCACTTCCAGTATCTAGCTGTAGTTTAACATTTTTTCCATTAATTTTTACGTGTACGAATTTACTTTTCTGCCCCTCCTCAATCTCCTGACGTGACAACACAATATTCACATTATCTTTTTTCGACTTAAATTTTTTTCTTTTGCTTTTACAATGAGTACTTATATGGCCTTTATTGCCACACAAATAGCAATTTTTGTCGCAAAAAAAAACATTCACTTTTAAAATGACCACTACCGCATCCAAAGCACGTTGGTTTTTTAACTATTCCCGTTTTTGGTCGAATAGCATGGACACGGGATACGTCTTTTTCTTCAATTTGCGTATTTGTCATGTTTTAAGTTTTCAATTCTTTGACACTCTTCCGTAACCTTCTGCAAAGTGATCTCGGAATTTTGTTCCAGTTTTGCCAATATTCGGGACCTTATGTCCTTATCTTTGCTGGAAGTCAAGCCTTGAACGAATATCAAACATTTAAATCGATCAATTGAAAGATCATGTAACATAAAACGTTCACACATTCTGTTAACATTTCCAGCATACGTAACAACATCCTCATCGTCATGCTTTACCATATTCAAACACGAGAAACAAGTATGAAACAAACTAACTCGCTCGCCAAAAAATACTAGATAAAGTATTAACAGTTTCTTCAAAAGAAATGTCACCAGTTTTTCTTGGAAAGACAAAATTCGTATACTTATTATTTTCATCTGTACCCAACTTTTGTAAAAGTAAACTCACTTTTTGTTCATCAGTCCAACCTTCATTTTTTTTTCAAATATTGTTTAAAATCTTCTGAAATATGCAGGAAATGTTATGCCCTCCTCTGGGTTAAATTTGAACTCAGTAATAGAATTAGCAATACCTTGGCCGTGAATGATGAATTTACTGGATTCTTAAGTAAAATCGCTTCATATAAAGCCTTTGTGTCATTTAAGCTGCTGAACTTGTAAATCCAATAGTTGTTCCCAAACAATTTTTGTTGCTCTTGTTGCTGAATTTGACTTTGCACTAGAGTTTTCATTAATGCAATCAAATCTTCCATTATGCGTAATAGATTACACAAAACACTTTTCGAAAACAGACAAAAAGGGAAAAACACGTATATATTCACAATAAGCACAAGTCTTACTTCTTTTTGGCACGTTGAAATCCCATTTCTTCGTAAAGAACAAAGTTCGACGTATTTTGTTTTTTTTGTTTTTTTTCAGAGCGAGAAAAAAAAAATTTATATAGTCCACCTCGAGTTGAAAAATTCTCCACTCAGCGTGATGAACGAATCTCTCGTCGCCACTGTTATGATGTTGATTTGGGGTTAGTAGAGACAAACACCAAATAACACGTAACAATAAAAGGGTTTTAATAGGTTGGTAAAAAGGTACAGAAATCGCCTGAGTAGTCAATAACTAGCTCAGCTAAGAACTTCTCTGTCTATCGGTCTTCCATGTCAACTGACATGCCACTATTTAAAGTCTTTGTTCACAGACGCAGACAAGTTCATCTTCAAGAGGGGTGGTAGGTTTCCGACACAACAGTTACTTATTGTCATGATGTGTTATTTAGGTTAGAAAAAGGCCAAGAATAGTAGTAGCTGTCTGTCATCTAAGGTGTATGACCTAGGAATTGGCACAGACTGCAGTATAGTAATATTTATTCTGCAATTTATAACAGAAATGTGGCACAAGGCGAAATAGGGAATGTGGAGAGGACGGTCTTCTTCTGTCTTAGTTTTAACTTAGCTATTTTAATGTCACTGACCCAATCGTATTTCTAATATTCCTTACACCAAAACAACAGATTTATATGTACCTTTCAAACTACAAACACCATAATACCTCGTCGTCTCTATGAAAAAACTAACTAAACCCCAGACTGCAGTATAGTGTTGCCTCATGGTTGCCCACCAGAGGTGCTTGCAAGGACACCCTTCCATGCACAACATGGCACTGCAAGAACCCCGATATTATGCCACTGTTAATTAGAACAGCCTCTCGAGACACTAGTTCAGGCTCCTATCTACCAGTCGGAATGCAGCAACCAGAAAACTACCAACCCAGTATTCTCAGTATGAAGAGACATCGTCAGCATCTACACATATCACAAAAATTTCATGACAGCACCACTATTAAGGCCTTAGAAGAAGAAAGGAATCAGGAACCCATTCTTAAAGAAAAAACAAGGGATGAGCCTCTACTCCTGTTCAAGAAAAGGGAAAGGAGTATGGGTTGGACAATAGGAATTCCTATCTACTCCTAGTAAAAAAAAAAAAAAACTACCAAGTTGAGACATCCATTAAAAATACAAACAAGAATTAAAAATGGTATGTACCTCTGTGAAATTGAGCATACACATCCTGGGTTTAGTTTCCCAGTCAAGTTACATCTTTGAAAATTAATTCAGTTAACTTATTTATTTTATTTAATCATTTAAATAATGTATTTACTCTATATAGACAGATAATTTAAAGATACTTACTGAAGGTATATCAAAAAGATGTGTTCCAAATGTGTCAAAGACCTGAACTGTTCCACTGCTATGAGAAATGGCAAGCAATGCTCCATCTGTACTCCAGGCAATTTGTCGCCACTGAGGATAGTGATCACACAAAATTACTGCTCGGCTGAATACACTACTGTAATCATCACGAGAAGATCTGAAATGAAATGCTTTCAAATAATATGCTTGAAAAGGAAAAAATTGTTTCTTTGCACTTTACTTGGATGCAGTTCATGATCTGTGACTTAGCAAGGCACTTGTAAAATTTGAACTTAGCAAGGCACTTGTAAAAAGAGTCAGAATTCCAAATGAAAAAGGGAATTTGTCAGTATCTGTTAATATATACACACACACACTTCTGTAATAGCAAAGCATTTGCATTCAAAATGCTAAAAAGTCCTGCATTTCATATGCATTCATAAAATTTTAATTTAAGACCAAAGTATATAATCCAAAGTATCTAATCTAATCCTAAATATGAATTCACAAACTTAACATATGCTTACAGATGCATAAGGTTTATTGTTTTTTTAAGTGAATAATACCATTTTACTAAGAAAAATGACTAAATACATAGATTTTCTCAAAAAATTTCTATACATTAAGGATAAAATACATATTCACTGCTTAAGTGGATTAATTTAAAATAACAAAAGTGAAAAGCTGGCACACACAAGAAGAAACATCATGTTCAGAATTATATATATATATATATATATATATATATATATATATATATATATATATATATATATTTAATTAAAAAAAACAGACAATCTTAAGTGTCCATTGATTATATTTCATTTCCCCAGGAAAGTAATTTTTTTCCTGGTTGCACACACAAAAGTAAATACATTGAAATGGATTATTATGTTTATTTTCAATGGTTTATGTTAGCCAAGTCTTTTCACTTTGACCTATTCTATTTTCTACCCTAATTATTACTGTATATAGTTTTACAACTACCAACTCTCAATTGTAAAATCATAGATTATAAATATATCTGTGATGAGCTCTACACAAACCCAACCCAACAAGGAACTGGCCCATGAAAGAATATTTATATGAATTTTAGGTTAGGTCAGTTGATTTTATATGTAAGCTCTTATCAAGTTATTTAATTTCAATTGTATGGTGTGCCTTGTGAGAATCAAACTCACAACTCAGTAATAATAATCAGTCAGACTAGCCATGCTAACCATTATCACACACTGAGCCACTTTTTAAATTTCATCATTTCTAAAGATACAACTACAAAAAACATGTATTATATTATTATATAATACATGTATTTATGAATGCATATGAAATGCAGGACATTTTATCATTTTGAATGTAATTATATTATGCATTAATCATCCAGTAAACCATACTTAAATGGCTTCAAATTGCAAGGATATAGATGTCTGCCTATTACATGACAAAAACTCTTTTATTGACCAATGAAAACATGCCTCTTCCTGATCTTCCTGATTTTTCTAATCTCAACAAACACCTACCTACCTACTATGAACACAGAAAAACTATGTTTATATATGTAGTATGAGTATGTGAAGTCAAGTGGTCTGAATAACATAAAACATACATTAAATACTAAAAGTGGGCACCTTGGCATAGTGTAATGGTTAGGAAGCTTGTCTTCCTATCATTTACGACTTAGTAGTGAGTTTGATCCTCACTGGGTGCCCCATACTTTCGGCTTTGTGCCACATCTAAGCCGCACTTAGAAAATCACTACATTAAATACTAAAAGACTGTTACAAATGCATTGCTTACCATACCTCCAATTCCATCACTTCTAAAATTAGAGCCTAAAATAAAAATTTGAAATTCATATTTATCTTCTGATCACACCTGTAGAAATTCAAATCTAACCCATATCTTCTTTTTTTTTTTTTAGTGTGAAGGAGCCTCTCATAAACCAATCTTAAATTATCTTGAATTACACAAACATAGATATAAACAGCATAATGTTTTAAAAAATATATTTCACCAGTTAGAACACACTAGCTTCTTAATTTTCAGAGCTTAGCTGAGCCCATCAGATCATGTAAAAAAAAAAAAAAAAAATAGAATTTGATCTGTTGTAGTAAGAGCCACTTACCCACCTTACTATCATGAATGGACTCATCCATTCATAGGTAGTTCTGGGTAATTGTCTATGAGGAAGATAATACTATTGCAATGACTTGTCAAGCTGAGTAGTGAATACTGACTGTCAAGTGTTGTGTCCAGACCCCACATCATAACAGTTGGCGATGGGGATGATTCCCTATTTATTATAATAGTGGTGGATAAAAGATTTGTTTTTTTTTCCTTGTGAAATCCATACAGTGAAAAATAAAAACTTATATCGAAGACAACAGAATGTTAAAACATTTGAAATATACATTGGAACTAAATTTTCAAGTCAAACAATTAAAAATAGAGGACTTGAAAGAAGTAATATTGGAATTGATAAAACAACAGCAAGAACACCAGCAATTCCAGGAAACATTGTTGAGACAAGAACAGCAGCAAAAAATACTAGAATATTTTATGAAGAGTAAAAGTAATGAAAACAAGTCTACATTTTACTCACAGGACTTAGTAGTAAATACAGTTGCGAAATCTTGTAAAAAAAATAATAAGCTAGTATGCTAGTATTGTAAGCAGGAAATGTGAAAAGTTCAAGTTAAGCAAACTAACATGTTTAAGTGCTTGATCTTTGTACATGGTGTAACAGCAAATAGGGATGCGGAAATCTATTCTAGAAAGCTTGAACAGGACTCAAAATTGACCTTGCAACTGATCTGAAAAGTGTCAAAGAATAGTGAACTTACAAAAACTTACAATACAGCTAGAATTAAGGAAAGACATGTATCTCACATAAATTCGTTTTGTCCCAAAATATATGAGAAAACAGAATACTTGACAAAACCAAATCCATGTTATGGATGTAGCAAACTACATTTCAAGGGGAACTGACCTTTTAAGAACAAAAAATGTTTTGACTGTAGAAAAGTCGGACACAAGAGTTTGCATTGTAAAGTTAAAAATAGAATAAAAAGTTAAAATTCAAGTGTACTGTAAATGTATCATCGACAACAGAATGCAGACAAGGGTCAAAAAAGAAATTTTATAGACATAAAAATAAATAGAAGAAATATAAAGTTTTAGGTAGACACAGGGTCAGATTTTACTATTATAAACAAAGAAAAGTGAGAAAGAATAGGTAAACCAATATTAACGTTACCAAAAAACATTGTTCATGGACATTATTGGGCAGAAATTTAAATTTAAAGGTGAGTTTACATCAGATGTATCATTTTAAAGGAAAATGGTGAAGCTAAAGGACTCATGATAGAGTTATAACTTGTTTGGAACAGATTGGATGCAACTGTTCAGTTTATGGGATTTGCCCATAAACTCTTTTTGTAATAAAGTTGATAGTTCTTATAATAACTCTGAGAGGCTAAAAAAATGAATTAAAAAATCAATTTCTGGAAGTTTTTCTGAAGGGTTAGAAGATGCACAAAAAATAACACCAACTTTCAATTAAAGGAAAATTTGGTACCAATTTTTAGACCAAAGAGTATGTTCATTTTTCAGCTTTAGATATGATAAACAATTAGATCACTTGGAAAATATGGGAGTGATCTCCAAAGTGGATTATAGCAATTGGGTCTCCTTGACTGTCCATGTAAAAAAGAAAAATAACAAAATCTCTTATATCCTGAAACAGACAGCAAATCAACTACAGCAATGAGGAACAATTCTGTTGAACTGCAATTTTAGAATGGAATCCCTGCCATCAAAAATGTTAAGTTATGCAGATGGTTTGTTGAGACTCATATCTAAATTATGTGAACCTTTAGAAAATACAGTAATTGCAGTGCTAAGAGCTGAGAATGTAATTAAGAACATTCTCCGCAATACCACATGTGATCTACCAGTAACACTGGATGAAATTAAAATAAAAGCTCAGGTGGATACTTATATTAGACAAAAAAAAGAAGGAAGGAAATAAGGTGAAAATTGAATGAGAAAAATAAAATTAAATCAAAAACTAACAGTAACGATATTTTCTCAATCTGCGATGAGGTCTTAATGTATGGTGAAAAAGTGGTAATGCCAGCATCTCTTCAGATAAGAATGTTAAAAATTTCATACTGGTCATCCAGGTATCTCTAGAAAGAAATTCCTCATGCACAGCTCTGTCTACTGGCCCAATGTGGACACATGCTTAGAGAGATTGGTAAAAGCATGCAGAGGTTGTGCCATGGCAGCAAAATCATCACCTGTTAAATTCCACCCTTGGCCAAAGAAAGACACTGTGGCTGAGATTACACATCAATTTCATGGGGCCGATAAAAGGTGTCTACTACCTAATTGTTGTTGACAGTTTTTCCAAATTGCCAGAAATTTTAAAATGCAAGAGTCCAACTTCTACAATTACAATAAACTTCTTGCATTATTTGCTAGAGACGGTATCCCAGATACCATTCTTTTGGACAACGCCATGCAATTCACTGCTAAAGATTTTGAAAGTTTTTGTAAAACCTTTGCAATATGAAAACTCCCTGGCTACCATCCAAGATCGAATGGCAAGCAGAACATTTTATCAATATGTGACGTCCCCCCCAGCCCCCGGTGTCGCCGCTCCAAACGTGACGTCCACCTGTCTGCATTACTCGTGCTATCCTGTCTTGTGACGACCAACTGGCTTGGTATCGGTCGCGACACCAAATGTGACGTTCTAACCTTTTGGTGATTCGGATGGGAATCTGGTTAGATTCAGTATCAGCCTCGTCGTTCCCAGCTCACTTCCAACGTCTGGTTACCGAAGTAACTGCTTTGATTTCTAGTCTAACCTACCTACGTTGTGAATTGATCTAGGCAGACAAAATCAATCAGTTGCCGGGCCGTAATGCGAGCTGAGTTCGAATAAGGGTGATATCGCACAAGTATGTGTAAAATAAAATAATAACTCGAAAAGCTCAAATGTGTTAAAAAAAGGATAACAATACTTTATATCTGGTTGCTGAGTACAGGACTGAGTCTTCTCCCAAACCCGCTATATGGATTCCTGTTTGTTAGGCGAGTCTTAACATCTTAAGTTGTTTGTTCTTTTAAGAAACTGGTTCTTGGTGTGTCTTCAGGCGAAATTCGTAAAAC